TTCAGAGCATCTGTTTGCTTGGGCTTTCTTTGGCATTGTCTTTTCTTCCACCATTTCCAAGTTTCCTTCAAAAGCAGTGGTGACTGCGATAAGCCTGGAAAGTTCTCAGGCAGGAGCCTGGACTTCTCACGTCTGCAAAAAACAAAGCTGGTGTCACTTTGTGTCTAGTTGGCCTCAAGGTGATCTAGAAGGAGCAGCTGGAAGCTTTAATGCAATGTGACGAATAATAAGAAACTAACTTGAAGTAGGAAAATTACTGCAGTTCTTGTTGTAAGAATTACCTCTGACGCAGAGAGTACTTGGACTGAAGGTGCCCAAAGAGTGTTGGTCAGAGCAGGGTATCAGGGTGGAGCTCTGTGCAAGGCAGGAGAAGGAGGTCTTAGCATTAGGAGGCTTAAGAAATATCAATCCATGAGTGAGAAGTCCATGCCTAAGCCTGGACAATGCTCCTTGCTTCAGCACAAAGGCGGCTGCTGCCTGATCCAAAGGTACCTTCCCTCTGCTCTTGGAGTCTTTCTCTGGGGGGTGATGCTTTTTAATCCCTGGAGGAGGATCTCTGTGTAGGTGAGGCACCAGCTGGCTGTTTTTGAGAAGTGTAACACATACATGTTTTGCAGTCAGACTCTCCCTTTTCAGGCTTAAATAACAAAACCAGTTGTAGATGTACTTCCAGCCTTCCAGCGTGCTGGGTAAGGGTTTGAAAACTGCACAGTTCCTGTGCAGATGGCCTGCCCTGAGCAAGCAGCAGCATCTGATGAGGCCATCATTTACTGTCATGGCTTATGTCTGTGGATAGCGGCAGCCCTGGGAGGCGATGGAGACATGAGCTTGTCCCACAGCCTCTTTTATGACTGCCCTCTGCTTCCTCCCCTCTCAGCTCCCAGTGCCTGTGCCATGCTTTCCTGGAGGTCTTTCCATAAAACCTGCCCTGCTGCAGCGGTTCCGACAAGAGGGCCATTTTGCTGACTTTGTGTCAGTGGTGCGATCGGTACCAAGTGCCCAGACATAAGCTGGTCACAGTGGAGTTTTATTTTTCTCCTCATCAGCCAGCTGTGGGAAGGGAGCGACCACCCAACCGGCAGTGGTGCCGAAGTGAACCTGGGGAGGGCTGCTGCCATTTGCTCAGACTCCTGATAGAGGGCAGCCCTGCAGCTGGTTAGCTCTGCTGGGTCCCCAGCAAGGGGCAGGGGCCTGGCTGGGCCCGGGCAGCCCCGACTCCCACCATGATGTCAGCGGGTCCCAACGGTGCCACCATGTTCCCCAACGGCACTCCTGCAGCCTTCTTTGCTGCCTCGGGGATGGGCCCCTGGCCTCTACCCCTCAGTGCCTGCCGTTAGCGGTATCCTGGTCCAGAAAGAGGAGCCTGGGAGAAACGTGTGCTGGTGGCCATAGCTGGGCAAAGCCTTGGCTCCCCTAGGCCTGCGCACAGCTCTCCCCAAGCTGCCATGCCTCTGCCTCTGTGGGATGGAGGAAAAAAATATTTGGTAAGAGAACAGTCTTTCAGCTATAGCAGTTTATTGTTGCTGAGGTGTTGTGGTAAATAAAGGTGAGAAAACTGTGCAAGCAAACTGCCAGTCCCTACCCAGGCACCAGCTCTGGGCTCAGTGAGGAGGTGGGATCTCACCTCCCGCTCCCCGCACGGGTGGTCGCCACCAGGGAGGGTGGTCCGAGGGACAGGTCTCCATGAAACCAGCCTTGCCCCTTGGCAGCTGTGTGGTGGCTGTGAGTGCTTGCAGTCCCTGTGGGCCCAGGAACAGAGCAGCTCGGCCTAGCGGCCGTGAGAGGGGCCGTGAGATGTTGGGGCCGTGGCTGCCCATATCTGAGAGTGAACGTCCCTTCCCTCTCCTGGGCAAGACCCTCCTGCCTTTTTCCCCAAACCCAATTATTCCTGATGTGGTCTGTGTTTCTGATACCTCAGAAACTGTTGATTCAGAATAGCCTCATTCTTGGCAGAAATACACCAGCTGCCCAGGGATGAGAGATGTACCAAACCTTGTAATTTAGTTACCTTGGCAACATCTGTATGGAACTACCAGCGCAAACCCACTACTTTTTCTTGATCTCTTTTATGGAAATACATATTTATGTTTACTTGGCAAAAGTGTGATTTATAGCCACTGTAGCCATTCTCCTGAACATTATCCTGACAGGCAATAGCTCCCATTTCTAACAAGCAAGGTTAAATGACTGTAAAAGCCGGTATTTGAGTTTATTGTACAAACTGAGATTTACCATCAAGTAACTAAGCATTTGCTAAGCAAAGCCAAAACCATGTAAATACTTCATTATTGTTTCGAAGTATTATAATGCTTGATCACATTTACTCAGCATAGGAATTTTTCCAATGGTTGTGTTTTAGAACAAGAAAAAAGATCTATTTTTTTTTTCATTTGCATTGTAACATTCTTAGATACGTGCAAGTTTTAGTTGTCAACCTTTCATTGTACAGAGGAAAAACAATATAAATAAAAGCATTATTGCTTATGATTCCAAGCCAAAACTAACAGCCTTGCTTTGGACTTGGTTGTTCCTGGATCTGGCACAGCTCCCTTCTTACTCCATCATTCCCATGTAGCCATCTATGTCCTGGTAGTGGCTCCTCTGCACTGCGCAACCTGGGACACTCAGGTGCCGGCACACAGAAGTTTGCTAGGGATCAGGCTTGCTGAGTAGGCAGTGCCCCCAGCTTTTAGGTGGCTCTTCTCATCCTCTGGTTTCTCACTTGTTTCTCTCTTTACTCCCAACAGCAGGGAATTTTCTGAGCCCTTCAAAGGGAGGAACATCCCTCAGTCAGTGACTGATTCAGTAATTGATTTAATTAATTTGAAACTAACTGTCACTTGTTAAACTGATAATCAAGAGGCCAATTATATGTTAACAGTTCTAAATATGAATCAGCGGTAACCAAAGTGTTTCTCTCTTAAATAAAGGATTCTGGATTTCTTTCTGATATTTCAGAGCTTTTAAAATGAGTTGTAAATATGGCTGTTCCCTTAAAAAAATTAAAAAGCCTATATTAAAATGCCATTTTCTAGTTCAGAATAATAAAATTGCATATTTATTTCTGAAACTGCATTTAGAATTTTAACCTTTTTAGTGTGTTATGCCCTGTAAGGCATAAGTCTCAGAGCATGATAGAAAGTTTATTAAGGATAAATCCCACTCACCTTATTCATTTATGCAGCTGAAATCCTCAAGTAGCCTCATGTTTTTAAATCAGAGCATTTCCATTTCTCTGTTGCAAGTTGGGTTAGTCTACACATTCAAAAGTCTTATTCTAGGAATGTTCTGTCTTTTATTGTATATACATTTGTATTTGTAAGAGGTAATGTAAAAGTGGTACATACCAAAACATAGCTTTATTTTTTATTGCAGCCATTAATCATAAAAGATTTTGTAAAAACAAAAAAAATGTTCCTTAAATAAAAGCATTTAAATTATGATTTTTATTATGTATTTTCATGAAACTAGATTTTTTTACAGGTTTAAAAAGCAAAGCAATTTAAAAAAATGTGTTCAGAATGTGTGCCCAGTCCTGTATACTCTATGACATGAAAGTGTTGGAGGAGTACAGCAAGCAAGCCACTGATGTATGATGGTTTGTCTATGGCTCTCTAAGTACTTAATTGAATTTGATCATTACCCATCTATAAAATATTTTCTTCACTTCTTAAATTCTGATCTGAGGGCGGTGAATGTTTGTTTTTTTTAATGATGGAGAGTCAACAGTTTGATTAATCATGTAGTTTCAAGCATGAGTATTTCTGAGCACATCCTTTAAAGAATGTGTCCTGATTTTTTTTTTAAATCCCACGTGTGTATAAATGTGTTTGTTTCTTTACCATGGAAGTTGTTTAGAAGGGCCTGAAAGCAGATGGTATGTTAAGGTACTAATATATTAAGGTCCATCTCATCCCTTATCTCCAGTTTCAATCTGTACACATTTCTGGCTGCTAACCCCCTAGTTTTGTTTCCAGCTTCACTGTCTGCGATAAGCATAGGCTTGTAGAGCCCTGGGCAAGTGTTTGCACCATTAGCAAAACCATGTAAGCCGCCAAAAAAGAGGTGCTTTAGAGAACAATAAGTAAGCAAATTGAGGGCCAAATTCTGCTGCCATTTAATCCATTGCAGGATGAATTGTTTTACTCGGTAGCCTGTTGGCCAAAAGTTTGTTTAGAAATAAAGGGTTGAGTAGTAGCACAGATGGCAAATTCCAGTGCTGACAAACACAGGATATACAAAACCATAAGCATGTGAAGACACATGTTAATCATACATTTCAGCTGTAAAATCTTTGGGGTAACAACAACACATCCAGAGTTGCAAATGTAATTTTTATGTTGATAATTTAATCCTTTATTGAGCAGTATTTTAAAATATATTATGACACACAATGAATGAGCAAAGTGAATGAGCACCTGAACAAAATCAAGAGAGGATCTTTGTTTCTGGAGTCAGCTTTTCCAGTATAATCTCTCCTGCCAGCAGTGAATACATCAGATGTATTTACATCGTATCTGTGCAAGAGGATGTTTACGGATATGACATATGCTGCTCTGCACCCTTAAAACCTGAGAACTAGATTTTCTCTCAGTACCATGTGCATCTCTGTTGATTTCAGAAATATGCAATACTGCAGTAATGAGCATGGTATAAGAATCTAAATAGATCCATAGACATATGGACAGACAGATGGATTAAGGCAGACTTTGTCACTTTGTCCCTAAAAATCCTTTGTGATACTTTTGTGTACACAGTGACACTAAGGTGTCAGCTCAGATAATTTCCCTTAACTTAGTAATATTTTATGGATTTACATAAAGTTTTTACTTGAAAACATGGAGGAGTGTGTGTGTGCACATTTTGCAGAAATGTACTGGTGCTAGTAATATAAACCATTTTCATTCTATTTTGAAAAACATTGTGAAGGTATAAATTATGTTTGAACTGGACAGAGATGATGATGTGGCATGTGACTGAAAATATATATTTTTTAATAGATGATTCAGCCGCAGAGAGTTTTAATGGCAATGAGACCGTGGGACACAGTTCCAATGCTTCAGGGGGAACACACTGCAGGGAGATGGCAGAAACCAACAGTAATGGCAAAACAAATCTGGAGCAGGATGAGCAGCCTCTGAACCTGAGTGACAGTCCCCTCTCTGCTCAGCTGACTTCAGAATACAGACTAGATGATCACAGCAGTAATGGAAAGAACAAATACAAGACTCTCCTAATTTCTGATCTCAAGATGGAACGGGAGGCAAGAGAAAATGGAAGCAAGGTAAGATGCTTCCACATGCTCCAGATATGAAGTGTGTAGCTTAGAAAAGGAGAAGATTTGTAAGGCCAAACCAAAGGTTATTCCCAGCTAAGCACTTAATGCAATGTGTCGAATGTTTGTCATGTCATTACTCAAATGCTATACATAAATTTGTATGCTCTGTTACACATATATATATGATGCATACATACATTAAGTGTATGTGGATGTCCATGGGTGAATACATATTTAGGCACATATATTCTGCTGACACACTGAAAAAAAACAGTGCAGTTCTCCATCAGGCATGAATTTTATCAATCCATTTATTGAGAACTGTCTACATTACCCATTTGAAATATATATATATATAAAAATATGTATATAAGGTAATACATATATATGTATATAAACTGGGATACATATATCTATGTATATTTATAGATGACCATCTCATTACATGTATTATGTATCTGTAGAATGAATCCGTATGAATGTTAAGTGTGTTTGCCCAAGCAAATGACTACATGTGAATTATCAACATTGAAAGGAACTGATTTGGTTCCTTCCTGATTGTTTGTGTTGTGCAGGCACCTAACCTGAATTAAAACTGACAAGTTTGCTTTAAGAAGCTGTAATCCCCCTGAGGGCTTTTCTCTGTAGTTTCCATTATGTGGGTAAGGAGAAGGGAGGGTGGTTATATTGTAGATAAAGAAAGAACCTATAGATTAGATAGCTAGCTTTCTAGTAAGGTGTTTGTCATGAGGGCATATTGTAGGGAGGATGAAGAAATGGACTGATCATAGAATTTATCCATTGATCTTATTGGTGACAAGATCCTGTTTTTTGCACTGCTTTTACAGCAGCAATAATAGGACGTTAGAACTGGATCCAAATACTATTAAGGATAGTCACTAGCTTTCAGTAGACCACTACAAAACAACCTGACAAAATAGATATACTTTGGCCATATTTTTTGCAGGACTTTGAAGTAGGAGGGATATGGAGAATCACTTTTTCTAGGTATATCCAGAAAGGGAATGTACATGACTGGTATCCAGAGAACAATATTTATTTATGCTAAAGTCTTAACTCCTGTCTTCATTGCCTGCAGAGTAAAAATAAAAACTTGAAATGTTTTTTTAGCTGAAGTGTCTGGTTTTGGTGTGTAGATGAAAGGGAGACCAAATGGGAGATTGTTAGTCTTTCTCTTTCTTGGCCATTCCAATTTAACAAGTCATGTATCCCAAAACCTTCTCCATAAAATCTTTATGAAAACCTGCTTATCTGCATGCCATATTTTTGTTTCCACAAATTTTCTTTTTATTGAAGATGTTCTGGATAGTGCTGGTCTCAGAGTGTGTATAGACTCCAGTGTTGTATTTACTCAGTACATTTATTGTTGCACAGTGAGTCCCAAATTGGCTAACATGAATGGTATCTTCGTTTGCTCCAGGGCACATTGTTCCAATGAACCTTTTATAAGCCAATCACCCAAATATTGATAGACACACAGGCTCTTTTGCCTGAGGTATATTGCTGCTTCCGCCATTACTCTTGCAAATACACAAATAAGATTGGTGAAGAAAGGGAGGAGTCTTAATGTGAAACTCATTTATAGCTAAGACAAGAACATAGCCTAGTGTTACATTTCCAATTTTAATCAGTTCCAACTCAGATGCAAAAAAAAATGTATCAAAAAGTGTTAAAAATCTTTTTGTAATGAATTGAGGTGACAATCAAAACCACCTCATTCTCTGTTTTTCTACAAATTTTAAGAGGTCTGAATCATCCCCCACATTGATATATTCTTTCATCACTCAGTGTCATCCTACCCACTCTATACTGCCAACAATATGCAGATTTGTCTCCCCTTTTTGTCCTAGTGAAACTCATTTTGATGTTTACAACTCATTTAAGAATATGATTTATTAGTTATGCAGTAAAGATTATTAAATGTGGAGTGAAGACTTCAGGAAGAACACACTCCTGGGATAAACAAAAAATTGTCCGAGATTCATAAGCTAAATGTAGACTAAAAGAATGTTTTTGTGGCCAATTTTGTATTTTACAGATGAATTCTACTTTTACTTTTTAAATTTAAAAAAAGTTATAGAATATTTTTAGAAGGAACAAAATCCAACAATGTAGTAGAATAGAATGGGACTGTACAACATGTCAGTGTTTCAAATGCATGCATAGACATTCATAAATCATTACTACTGTTTTATGTTAAGCAGTCTCATACATGCTAAGGAGTCAGAGAATGTTTTACAAACCCTAGACCTGATCAAAGAAGTCCTCTTGCCTTCTTCTCAGGTCCAGTAAACCTGGTGACTCAGGTTTACTGGACCCCTCCAGAAGAATGTTCTGGCCATTACTGAGCTGATTCATTTTGAACAATGCAGATCAAGCTCCTAGTTGTGTGCAGTACCCACTGGATGCACTTGGGCAAGGGTATCACAAGGAGCTAGCCAGAACTGTAATTCTCTGCCAAAAAAAAACCCATAAAGAACAAGTAAGGTTAAGAAAGTACTATAGTTTACTAGGAGCCACCTCTCACATATCCTTTTTACCCAGAATACACCAAGTATGTGAGTAGTTTTTTGAAGTCATCTTGGAATTCTTGCAACATCCAGCCATTCAGAGTTACACGGTTATCAGACATGATTAGACCTGAATAATGGCATCATTGGTAGTGATGGGTAAGCAAATGTGTTTAGCGTAACCCCTAATCGTGTTTTCATGAGAAAAATCATCTGCAGTGTTCACCAAATGTCAAATTGATATGCCACTTCTTATAAAATAGTATTCTTGTGGGATCTTTATGTGGCAAAGAATTGAGAAAAGTTATGTGAGAAGTTAGTGAAGAAAATATCTGGTTTCTAAATGAAGGGAAATATATTTTAATTATTTGGCTAGCATTGCAGGAAGTAATACATTATGCTTCCGCCAGCTTGTACAATGGCCCATTCAGCCTGCAGAAGATGTTAATTGCTTGAGATGGCGAGGACTCTGTGAAACCCAGAGGCAAAGGGCTGGAGCTGGCAAGATCTGTTGGCTGACATGTTCCTTATCTGCTCTGTCTGAGTCTCCTTTTTGGATACTGCATCACATATGTTTTATTAAATTTGAAGCCACTGTTTCTCTGGTCAACTTGCATCCATTCTCACCATTCACTAGGTTTAAAGATAATAAATCAGAGCTGAATGTAGCCGCCAAAAGCCAAAAGATCACTTTTTTGGTTTGAAAATTACCAACATATTATACCTCCTCCACCAAATCACAGATTTTTAAAGGGAGTTTATTTTTTTCTGGACAACACTGTTTTCAAGAACTATGCTTCTTTCACTTGTGTAGTGGTAGGCTCCACCATCTGACAATGCAGTTCTGATTGATAATTTTGTACATGCTGCAGAAATATGATCAGAAGAAGCATTTGAGATAAAAGTGGTAGGTTTTCCATCATATTTTCTTTGTAAATCTGACAGCTAATAGGCAAATGTTTTTGGAAAATGGTTACTTCTTTGTGGAAGTTCAATTTTTACATTATTCACCTTGTCAATACCTATTTGAAGCAATTATATGTTATGCTATATGGAAAGTTTGCTAGATAGTGGCCTCATTCTGTGTAACAGTCTTGGATGTCAAAGCAGGGATACTTAATATTTTCCTAAAATCAGGCATCTCTAATGTACACAGAGGAAGTCATTAGTGATTTGTAGGAAATGTAGGGTTTTGGGAATAATAAATCAAGTTTTCTTCTATGAAAAGACTGATGAATAACTGGAGATTAGTTAACCCTGTGAACAAGTTTTAATTTAACTTTTCAAGCTACCAGGGTATATTATTTAAATAATGCTCTGTTCAGTCACTTCAGAATATGACTGTTAAAACTGATGTTGATAACACTCTTTAAAGAAGAATGACATTTCAGTGGACAGTGTAACTTTACTTTTTGAATCCTCAGTTTCAGGCAGTGAGTATGGGCAGTAACCTCTTCTTTGTGTAAAAAGACAACATGCTGAGTGCAGTGGAGGGAGTTGACAAATTGTAACATAACCTTAAAATCTGGTCCAAAATGTTTTACCATTTGCTGAAAAAAATTTATGCAAGGAAGATATGGGTTTTCATAGTCTTAAATACATATCCGTAAGTATGTATGCGTATATGTGTGTGTGTATATATATTTTATATATATTATTTTATTCAGTTGATATTAGGGAACTGATCCTCCAGTAAGACTCAGATGTTCAAGGCAGTAGAAATTTCTACAACCGTATAGGCTAAACTGAAGTCAGTGAAATTTTGTATAGCTGCAAATATATATACATAAATTTACCTTAACAGGCCTGTGTCTTTGTACTACGAAGGACTTATAACGTACTCATCTGTAAATGTTCTGCAAATGCAGTTCTATGAATTCAAATAGTTAAGTGCAGGTATAAATTATTTTAGATCATTATATACTTATGTGTGAGACTGCTGGGTTTCTTTATGACCACGTTGAAGTCTCTGTAGCACTGAGATTTTTGATTTCTGATTCTTGTGTTATTGCTTTTTCCTAGACTATATATTTTATTTTGAAAACTCATTATATAGCTTTATCTCTTCTGCATCATTTATTTTTTGAAATATAGCAAGCCCACTGCTTTTGAATGATTTTGTCTTTTCTGCATCTGGATAACAATGTTATCGTGATACAGTATGGGAAAACAGGTTTCTGAGCTAACCAGTGATTCTTATACTGTGCCATGTGTTTTACCTGGATTAATAAGTAGTTCATTATGTCTGTATTGCAAATCACATTCCGAATATGCAAAACTTCTCTTTGGGGTTTCCCGGATAGAAACATGTGCTACTGATCATGAATGCCTAGGAGATGCATTAAAGTGAGGTAACAATGAGGACACACACGATGTTTCCATTTTGTCCAGATACCTACTAATTGCGGACAGTTGGTTAATGTCTTTTTTGTTTCTACCAGACAAAATTTCTGATAGAAAAATTGGACACCTCCA